ATATGGGCAAAACGGAATGCTGATCCCACTCCACAGCTCGTCAGTTGGTATTACCTTCGCTATTCGCCATAACTGATTGAGTTCCGGCAAAACCTTTGACGATTTGGATAAATGCTTCGTCATTCGTTAATATAAGAGATGTATTAACTTTTGTACCTAACTATTGCACAAGTCAACTAATGTAAAGTTTATATTTATAGCTTTTTTTCTCGAACGATATTACGCAAAAAACGCACGCAGAAAACGCATAGTGTAGCCAGGCCTTTAGGCTGTGCTGAATATCACACATGAAGTGTGTCTTATGGTGATCAATGTGTCACCTAGCCCGGTGCAGTGCGGCACAGCCTACCACTGCAGGCAGCTGATTGCCCGCTGAGAAACGGTGCATCGTTCTGCCGTCAACTGTAGACTGTACAGTGTGTATTAGTTATATTACAGCTGTATGGACACAGCACGGGTACGGATCCCTGTCACCATACCATCGACTGGTGGATACAGGACACGGTCTAGTATCCAGCGGTGCGATACAGCCGGTGCACACTGGGCCGGGGGTCCGGGAAAGTGCTAGAAATTATTTGTGATTGAGTTGTTGATCTCAGTGACAAGCAAACATGCTAAAAACGAAGTGGGGCTGCTTAACCCTCGCCGGACCTATTGTCGGACCCCCCACCCCCTCGGCCGGCCGAGGGGGGGGAGGGTTGGTACGACCCCTTTTTGCCGTTTCGCCCCTAATGGAGCTAGAGCCTCGCGGAAAAAACAAGCATGTGCGCCGTTTCAAGGCGGAACGATTGATACCCGATTTTAAGGCCCAAGGTCAACCGGTAACCTCTGAGGTGAAGTCAAAAAGCCCAAGGTAGAGTTTTGTTTTTGGCAAATAATTTCGCAAAAAATGGCCGCAGAGCAGCGATTTTGGCACCATCGTGTTCGCCTGGCTCAAGTGCGTCGAATGGTATACTTTTTGTTCGGGTGAGGTCAACTTAAGGTATTGACCTCGAGTCAAGGTCAGTTCAGAGCCCATCAGGCCACGAACTTAATCGAAGGAGGTCGTATCGCATATCATTCGATTCGGGAGGTCTTCCCGAGTCCATTGATGACTTTCCCGAGTCGCTGGCTCAATTTGATCATGAGTTATTGACGAGAAACTCCTATGACCGGTGTGACGTCATAAATGACGTCACGGAAGGTCAAAAATGCAAAAGTAAAGCATCGGATCTTGCAAGGAGTGCACGAAATCACGATTCCGTGTGCTTGAGATAGTTTGAAATCATTCCATGCGCAAAAACAACAGTTTCCTTATTTCCCCATTCACTTTTAATGGTGAGGTCACGTGACCTCGAAGGGTAGCAGGCATTAGCAAAAATTGCGAGTAGGGCATGACAGAAAGATGATTGGTGGTTTGTATGGCATGGCCATTTTTAGCGGCTCGAAATAACATTTCTCAAAAAGTCTACCTAAAGAGCAAGTTGTTGTTGATTATCACTGACTTGTGTTTAGGGGTTAATAATGACTGAATTTTTTAGTTTGGCCCAGAAATGTTGACAACATTGTGTGCGTTGATCAATTCTGAGCTCAGGGACATATATTTTATTTAGATTATAAGCGTTTGTTTTTCACAACTTCCAGCGTTTTAAAGAGCGCCGGGCCTTCAGTAGAGCGGCGAGGTGACAATTGCCCCTACATCATGTGGTTTACTGGCGCATATCTCGAAAAGTAGCAGGGAAAAGCAGCAAAGCACCTATATGGAACAAAAGATGAGTAATCAGAGGCTAGTATAAAAAGTTCATTTTTAGCCGCCCGAAATAACGTTTTTATAAAAGTCTAATTAAAAAATTGGATATAATTTTAAATTACGTCTTGCAGCTGCTTGCAAACAGCTAGCTTATCTTGCAGAAAAGCGATGCAATATGTCAGAATGATGTTGGCACAGTGAACAACAGTGCCCTGAACTAGTCTGACAGCAAATTTCGTTCAAAACGACGATTGGTCAACTAAAAAATTACCACTAAAATTCATCATTAAAATCGGTAAATGTGGTGGCCTATAGAGAGCCTAAATTGTCTTGTGTTTGATGACAACTGACGACCTCAATTTTGACCTTAGGGCAAAACTAGCATCGGAATCGTATTCTTCGATCAATTCGGGATTAAATGATACCTATTTTGTTCATATTGCGGACAGTCAGTTTGGGGGAATTTCTAGCGCTTTTTCAGGCTGCCGGCCTACAGTGCGGTGGTCGTTATTTCTTTTAGAAGGCTGGATACCGCCGGTGGACACTATTTCTTTTAGAAGGCTGGATACCGCCAGTTGCCGCTATTATTTTACTGAAGGCTGGATACCCCAGTGGCCATTATCACTTTTAGAAGGCTACATACCGCCAGTGGCCGCTATTATTTTTCTGAAGGCTGGATACCCCCAGTGGCCATTATCACTTTTAGAAGCCTACATACCGCCAGTGGCCGCTATTATTTTACTGAAGGCTGGATACCCCCAGTGACCATTATCACTTTTAGAAGGCTACATACCGACAGTGGCCATTATCACTTTTAGAAGGCTGCATACCGCCGGTGGACACTATTATTTTGCTGAAGGCTGGATACCGCCAGTGCGGGCCATTATCACTTTTAGAAGGCTGGATGTCGCCAGTGGCCCTATCACATATGTAGAGGGGAAGCGTCCAATAGGGCCTTTCGGTCGTTTTCTCAATTAGGTACTCACCAGGGTTGTGCCTGACTCATGAGTCGAGTCAGAAATTTGACTCAACTCTGACTTAAATGAGTCAGATTTGAGTCGAGTCGGATAAATTGTTGAGCTGTTGAGTTGAGTCAGAGTTGAGTCGGACAAAAATATTAAGGCGTTGAGTTGAGTCAGAGTTGAGTCAGTAAAATAACTTTTGACATTGAGTTGAGTCAAACATTTAGAAACATGAGTCAGCTGACTCAACTTTCCAGAAACAAGCTTTTCATCCCCCCCCCCCCGCTTAACAACTTCGCCCTGGCTCTGCTGCCGGACTTTTTCACCCCCCCCCCCCCCCGCTCAACATCTTTTTTTCATTGAGCCGCTTGAGTCATGAGTCGAGTCAAGGGAAAAATCAGCTCCTTGTTTGAGTCAGAGTTGAGTCAGGGCTTTCTGAGGTTGAATGATGAGTCGAGTCGGCAATTTTTTTTTGAGTCGAGCACAACCCTGGTACTCACCTCTAAAAAGTGGTGAATAGTGACGTAACGTTTATCACTCAGTTCTAATCAATACCCTTACCTCAAAACGTTCGTGGTCCGACCATCGACCTTTGAAATTATGGATTGTTTTAAGACAATATTCGACAAGAATGGTGATTCTCCGCATATAGCGCATATGATTTGTACGTGCACTTCACTTTTGCAAGAAGAAGTGAGCCAAAAAAGGAATGAAGTTTGCCCTCTAGCTTATTGTAGCGTCAAGGTCATTCAATTTTGATGAACTTTAGGTCTTGATGAGCACCTTTTCGAAGTTAAAACTCTTGGGTATGTATACATTCAGGAATTTTGTGTGATGCTCCAAATTTGGACGGCCGCGGTGGTCAGCGGTCAAGTGATGACTATCAGTTTACTATACCAGAACTAGTGTCCCCCCCGCTCCACGGCCTTGAGTGCCGCCATTTCCAATGAGTTGCCCCACCCCAAACGTGCCGCTGGATCCGCCACTGCCATCAATTGAAGTAGGGGAGAGTGGGGTAATTTGGCCGCGTTTTTTATAAAACGATATAACTTGAAATTGACGACACGTTTCTGCATTTTCTCAACGCTGGCAGGCATTCATTTTACTTTACTGAACAGTGAACTTGAAATGATAGAGTAATTACTTATATTGAAATTGTGACGCATTACAAAGGTCTGCAAGGCGGCCAAATTGCCCCACTAGCAGGGTTATTTGGCCGGGGGTGTGGGGCAATTTGGCCGGTGTTAGTTTGCGGTCGGGATTCTCTGCTACTATTGCGAGTCAGCTTCAGATTCAGCAATGACGTGTGTCCTATGACGCATTTGCCGCATTTTGGAGGCTGGCTCAGGGGTCACAGGGGTCAAAATAACCAAATTAGCGGCTCTAGATGCGATCACAGTTTTTTACGAATAACTTTTGAAGTAATCAAGCTAGGCCAAAACTTCGAGTACCATCGTAATTCTCTCGTCAGTCCGCATCGAAAGATAAGGTCAAAGGTTGACCTCAGGTCACGTTGCATCAGGTCGCTTGACCTCAAAGTCACGTGATTTCAAGGTCATCATGCATATCATTCGATGCGCTTTGGCGAGCTGAACAGAATGAGACCATTTGTGCGGCTGTACCATTTTTTTGTAAGGATTTATTAGCAAAAAACGTTTGGTAACCTTTGATGACGTCACATGCTCTTACAGCTGACCAATCGGAATTAAGGCATCAAAGTAGTCAAAGTTGGTCATGAATCATGTCATTTATGGTACAATTGACCATGGAAATTGGGCCGTCCCAGCATAGTGACCCTGAGCGCACCGGCCAAGTTGCCCCGCTAGTCCCGGCCAAATTACCCCATATTGCCATTCTGAAATTTTTGTCTATAAAGTCATCACGGCTATACGGAATTAGATAAAATTGCTCTTGGAACTGCTGAACACCCCCAAGAATGGCGCTATAATGTCTGAATTCGTTTTTAGCCCAAATACTACATGTTATACAACTTTGTAAACAGAAGTAAAAGTTACCATTTTCTAATAAAATTAACGTTTTATTAATTTTGAATAAAACTACGAGGGGCAAAGTTTTGACATTTGTCCTCCAGTTATTTCTACCCATGACAAATGAATAGAGACTAGAGTTATTTCACTCACTTTTATTAGACATCGTACAGGTGGGGGCGGCCAATTTACACCACCGGCCAAATTACCCCACTCTCCCCTATTCACGCTCGTCCCAGCCGGTCCACTGATACCTTATCGGTGCAGAGATACCGTATCGGCTACAGTCAATGTCACGAGCCCCGCACAGGGTGTCGATAGGGACAACACCGGCATTGAGGCCCCGGGCGTCGGACGGTGTGACCTAGAGAGGAGCGGTCTTCTGACCTCGTGTGACCCACCGAGACAAGGTATAGTGGCCTGGAGAGGAGCGGTCTAACTACCCCGTGTGTGACCTACCGAGACAAGATATAGTGACCTGGAGAGGAGCGGTCTAACGAACCTGTGTGACCCACCAAGACAAGGTATACTGACCCGGAGGGGAGCGGTCTGCTGAGACCTCGGAACCAGCGAGACATTACATTCAGCATGTTTTTAAGCATAAGTCATTTTCATAATGATAAGGCATTCACTATTATCAACTCAGTTTTGAACGATGCATTGGGGAAGGTCGGGTCGGGTCAGGTCAGGTCAGGTCAACCGGTAGGCGTCACCCCGCTACCGTGTTTACCTGTTTACTGCCACTGACAGATGCATAACCTGCTGCATCGGCACCGAAACTATACATTCATAAGCTGTGAAACTTAAAAGTCAACTGAAGTCATATACAGGCAATGGCCTTTACACACATCCATGCATATGATTCCACGATGTAGCATTTCACGTTGACGTGTTTGCATGTTTCTCATAAAAAGAAAAACGCAGAAAAAATACACCGTATGCTGAATCGCAATACTAGCTGACATTTGACAAAATATCGAGAAGAAGGTATGTGGTCAGAGGTCATCTGAGTCAGGGTCATTAGCTTATAATAGTAATTAGTATATTAATTAACTCGAGAGAAGTAAAGAGCAGGGAGAGCTGGGACGCGGGGAGTCTTGTTCACTGGAAATCGCTGTACAGGTAATCTTTGAATACTTGCAACATCCGGGTGTCCGATAAAGAAAAACAATATCGACTCGGCACTTTGTATCTAGTCGAGGCACGTCACAACCAAACGGTTATATTTTCCTGTTGCATATAAGATATATGCAACCGGAACTCGTATAGGAGATGATGAAGATATAAGATTGGTGATAAAGAAATTCTGCTTTTTTTAATTATACTCTACCTAATATTCAGCAACTTAAAGTGTTTAAGTCGCTCACCACCGGTATCCAGTGGCGCGGGAACTTCTGTCAGACTGGGGGGGGGGGGGGCATAATAGAGATCAACCTAGGGTACCCCCAAATCTAGTTTTCTCACCGGTTTAGGACACTTATTTTTCAGACTTTGGCCTTTTCAACAAAAAAAAAAACGAAAAAAAGCAAAAAAGTGAGGTATTCCGTCTCAGCTGAGTGAAGAAACTACCGTTTTGGCAACCTGGAGTAAAGATTTTAATCTGCCAAATGAGTTGCCGAGCTGGATTTTTCACTTACATGCTTTCTTTCTTTGTGACCCATAACCCCTAATTTGGGGAGGACAAGCTGCCCAACGTTTCCTGGCCTCATGAAAAGTTGTGGGGCACCGCCACCACGGCCGCAGAGTTGTGGGGGCAAGCTTCCCCCACTGCCCCATCCTCCGGTTCCCGCGCCTATGTATGAATCTATGAAATTTTGTTGGTAGATATCCGATTTCGATTCCTCCAGCTGGGGGGAGGCTCAAATACATTACGAGCCCGCCCCCCGGCCGAAAAGCTGGAGGGGGGGGGGGGCTCAGCCCCCGCTAGCCCCCCCCCCCCCGGTTCCCGCGCCACTGCCGGTATCTGTCAAGTTATATGACTGTTATCTGTTATCTGTATGACAAGTTATCTGTAAAGTAAGTTATCTGTAAGTGACGGGGTATACTGAGGTAGATCAATGAGCGCCCGATAGGTGAGCCCCAGCGGCGCCGGTATCAAGGTCCTATATACCCCGCCGGTATCCGCCTGAGGCGGTGGACGGGGTCAACGGAGAGTTATGACAGCACGACCTATGGCCGGTCTCCTTGCTAACTGTTTCGGCCCAGCTGTTAGGCTGTGGTGACGCCTATTTCATGCAGGAGTAGTTTACACCGTAGATAATAGGCACTACCGTTAGCGTACGATTCGTGTATGATACAGGTCACAACATCGCTTCTATGGTCATCAACATCAACAGAGTAGTTTTTTCGGGTCCCCGCGTAGCGGAACTCACACCAATGCTTTCAAGAACTACTGCACCTTTTTGCGTTAGCTTTTGACTACATATTAGACAAAACATTTGTACACATTCACCATAAAGGTGGCGCTACAAATGGGCGGTTGGTCACAAATAAACACCATTGTGCAAAACTATTCGGTGGTCCTCCTCTACAACTCGACATTGAGCGGATGGCTCAACATTGTGCAAAAACAAATCGTCAATGGTCGAAACTATTCGTCATATGCCGAGCTCGAAGCTGGCTCGCTCAATGGCGAAGTCTGGAGAAGTGTCAAACTGTTTTGTAGATCGCTCATTTCAGTGTTCAATCTGTTTTGCTAAATGGCCGAAATGAAACACGCAACGCCGGAATAGTTGTGCTCAATGCCGATTGTCGAAATGGCTACTCAAAGAGTTATGGCGAATGGTTGAATTCAAATGCAAAAAAGGTGTAATTAGTTTCACAGATTACAGATGGTTTGTTTGTCATTGTCTCTTTCTTCTGATTATCTGGAAGCCTAGGATAGGTACAGCCCACCGCTAAAGTAATGAAGGGTTTCACCAATCTCAACGGTTGGCTTTGACTGGCGATTGTTTAACCCTATTAGTGGCAGGCTCCTGGCTACCCCCTATTAGTGGCAGGGGGGGGGGCTGTTTACGACCCCCCCTTGATATCTCGAGATCTAACGGGCCGATTTTCAAAATTCAAACGGCATTCGATTTCCCTCAACGTGATCTACATTTCTAAAAAATAAAAATTAAAAAATGTCAATAGGGGGGGTAGAGGGGGGTAAAAACGGGCAAATTGCAGATACATTTTAGACTGTTTATCACGGCCAGGTTGCTGAACCAATCTTAACGCAACTTTTGCCGATCGATAGAGAATGAATCAGGAATTCACATGGATCCTAAAAATATGCATTTTCAAAAATCATAGGCGGATACAGATCATTGAGATTGGGGGTACACAAAAAGTATAGTAAAAAAGGTTTTTGTTGGTACTGTTTCTAAAAAGGGTGGTAATGGTCTTGTTATGTTATAATTTTCTTATGAGAGAACGACTAAAATTGTATTGGTAATGCATAGGCGGTGTCAGGGCACCTATGTTGGGAGGTAAAACATAACCCCCCTTTTTGGACGCCTGGATCCGCCTATTATAGCAAAAACGTGTCAAAAGAGGATGCACAATAACTGTATATGTTATCACATGATACCTTTTATTCACTGTTCGTAAAACTGGTGCAGCATCGTGATCTTCGCCCAAATGACTCGCTTCACGAATAGGACCCCCCAATTCCCAGTGCTCTGGAGCCGCCCCTGGTAAAGTTATGAACTTGAAATTTTCAGGGAATGTGCCCAATTTAGTTTTAGGAAAATTCAAAAAATTTCAGCATCGTAGCTTCAGCGGTTTCGGAGATATTCCCGAAAAACCTGAGGGGTGGATAAAAACAACCCCCCCCCCTGCCACTAATAGGGTTAACCCGCGAGTTGCTGGGGGGGGGGGCGTTAAACGCCCCCACTTTTTTCGCCGGGCCAGGGCATAAAAACAGCGCGCCGCAGGCGCGCCAAATTTTGCGTACCTGTAGGGAATTAATTGAAGTGTATTGTGACAAAGTTTCAAAAAAATCGGTCGGAAAAATTTTGAGATATCGAGGTTTTAGTGACGTCATGATTTTTGAGTTTTCGACCAAAAACGGCATATGTTCAAAAAATCATATAAAATCAAAGAATAGACATACAGACATGCCGTAAACGCCATTAGACTGCCAATACCATGAACAATCAAATGGCTATCTTCGATTATTGATTATCGTTCCGCATTTTCCAAAATCTTGAACTGAATGTTGGCAGTTTCACGTGACTACTTCACGACCATGATACATGCATTTCTTAAATTGAACTTTTTGAGCCAAACACGTACACATATGATAAAATGAATGTCACCATCGTGTTCTACGCCCCAAATTACCCTTAACACATGTGTCACAGGCTGCGAATATCAGTTTTGATTTTCGGGGATATTTGCCTACCCGGTTGACCTGACCTTGACCCTGAGGCCTGACCTATGCTTGACTGACCCCTACATGGAGCAGACACTCTTGTAGGCCTTATACGATGGATTGTGCACCGTTTTGACAGAGTTTATGACGAGAGGCGCCTATTGCGAAGTCCTGAAGTCCATGCTACTGAAAACCCGATTTCAGGTGTTTGACCTGACCTTGACCCGACCTGTGACCTCAAAATTCAGTTTTAAAGTACTCATCTGAAACGTCTCGTCGCGTTCTTTTGTTTGCCGCTTCGTGCGTTTCGCTGCGCCTATTGGTTCTCGAGTTATCGGCTGGGGGCGTTTAACGCCCCCCCCCCCCCCCAGCAAACGGTGGGCGGTGAAATACCCCAGCAACTGCCGGGTTAACCCGCGCCCGGCTGGGGGTCCTGGATTTCCACGCCCTGCTGGGGGGGGGGGTGTTTGAACACCCCCCCCTTCTAACTCGGCTCCTGGGCCACGTAGCGATACGCGGAAGGCGGCGTTCGAAAGAGCGCCAAAAATAATGACGAAATCACTTTGGTCACTTTTTTGGTCAGGTCAAAGGTCAGGTCACCAGAGGTCATTGAAGGCAAAATTTCGTCGATTTTCAGGTCGAATGTCGACAATTTCCAGGAAGCCTACGCATAACTCGGGAACCAATAAAGCTACAGCGCCGCGGAAAAGCGCATTCGATAGCCCTATTAACGCCCTTTCTGATTAATTCTCTCAGATTTGACCTAACGTCAACGGTTTTGCCTGCAGGGGGCAAAAACTGCAAAAATAGCCGATTTTTTTCGGAAACAGTTTTTCTGCAATAACTTTTGACCCAAGCCTTGTACGAGCTTACTTTTACCGGCATCGTAATCCTCTCGTCAAGACGCATCGAATGAACTATAACTTGACCTTGAAAGGTCAACTTGAAAATTTGACCTCAGGTCAAGGTCATGACCTGACCGGAAAGGGTCATGTTGCATATCAGTCGATCCGTATCGTCGAGCTAAGCATATCTAAGGCGTTTTTACCGCTCTAGCATGCCTCTATCAAAAGTTATTTGCGAAAAACTGGTAGACACCATTCGTGACCTGAGATGACCTCAGGGTCATAAATAGGGGTCACGGACACCATTTTCATGTTCAGTGTGTCTAAACCACTTGTAAGTCAGTGTTTGGGAGTGTTTGTAATGTCTTCCGCCCAAAAGAGGCGCATTTCAATTTTCTCCCATTGACTTATAATGGAGAGGTCGCAAAATTGACCTGACCTTAGGTCATCGATATCAAAATTCTGAGATATACATTTTGTACATGCTATTGCTCTTAGCAATCGCTGAAAGTTTCAAAGCGATCGGTCACTCGGTGTAGCTATGACAGACATTGAAACTTTTTATGAGGTGAGGTCACTTCAAGTGACCTGGTGACCTGACCTTGAATGACCTTGGTCTGAAATTTTCACAACATGTGTAGAATTGATGTATGATAAGGTGTACCAAAAACGGCGGCGCTCCGCGCTGCCGTTTTTGAGATATTGGCGAAAAACCACAAGGGGGGGTGTTCAAACACCCCCCCCAGCAGGGCGCGGGTTAATGCGGAGTGATCGAAAATAAGATGTCAGTAGCTAAAGTTGCAGCTGCAAGGGTGACGATACATATAAGCTACATTCAAAGTTTTATTGTAGTCTGGTAAATCGTTCCTAAGCTTCAGAAGCAGAACATACCCATGACTGAAACCCCACATTACTTCTGCTGTGGACTGTACCTACTTATCATTTGTGTTCCAGATGGACTTAGAAGATCTGTGCGGAGAGCTGGCTGCTCTTCGTGAAGAGGTTGGTGGTTTGAACGGAGAAGTGGCCACACTGAAGGGAGACAACGCCGTACTGAAGGGAGACAACGCCACACTGAAGGGAGAAGTGACCACACTGAAGGGAGACAACGCCGCACTGAAGGGAGACAACGCCACACTGCGTCAGGAGGTGGTCCATCTACGTGAAGATGTGGTCCGCCTGCGACAGGCTGTCCTCGAGGAGCGCACCACTCGCCAGGTCGTCGTGGAGGAGCTGCGGCAGGAGGTCCGCCGGCGAGCGGCGCCATCCGGCCGTTCCCAGGGGTGAGACTGGGAGGCAGCAGGGATGGCACTGGGGGGGGGGGGGGGGGGGCAAAGATAAGGGTAAACATTAGAGTCAGCCGCCTTTGGCTGCAAGGGATGACACTTGGTGTAGACAGTTTGTCGGTAATAGTCAACCCGGTTGTGTAGACAGTTTGTTAGAGTCAACCTGGTTGTGTGGGCATTTTGTCTGTAAGAACCAACCCGGTTGTGTAGGTATGCAGTTTGTCTGTAAGACACTGGATGGGCTTACGTGGGCGCCAATGATACGGTGCTGTCTCGGTAAAATGAAGACATCTTGAAATTATCGCCTTATGACTGACCTTAGATGACGTCTTACTACGTCACTCTGACGTCATTTCACCACAGTGACGGCGAAGAGGTGGTCTCACTGAAGGCCGACACCTGTGACAAGTGTGACGCCACCACCAGTTGTGACGTCACCCCAACTACGGAGGAGATGGGGCCGGCGTCCGGTGAGCGTAGGCCGCCTGCGGCTTGCGGTACCAACATTTACCACCTTGACTACAAGCTGCTGAAGATGGTGCTGAGCAAGATGGACTGCTGGGACATGTTCCGCGCCAGACGGGGTGAGTGCCCTGGCGACTGCTGAGGTCGTGTTGCACAGTAACATCCGGGTTGTTGTTGGTTTTTTCCTTAGCCAACAGACAGTTCAGCAATGGGGAAGCCTGGTCGGAAATCTGAGCGTAATATGGTAGGTAAAGGGCTGCTAGAGACGTGAACGGTCACCGAAATATGGTTGCCGCCGAGTTGCCAGATATATAAACTCGACCGGTTTGTGGACTTTGAGTTTCAGGCTTTCCGTTGACGCCACTTGTTTCTTCTGTTTCGTCGGTGCCAATAGTCTGCCATCGCTGGCGGTCCGCCGTCGACGATATCGTCGGCGACTGTCGGCGGGAGCTAACCGATCAGCAAACCCGCGGTGGAGAGGACCCGGCGCCGGCCACGAGCCTGGAGCTCGTATTGAAGGCACAGGACCAGCCAAAGATGACCGAACTGCAGGCGCCGACCGCTGAGACGGACACCGACCTCCGACTGGTCGGTGAGTACCGTGTGGAACGCGCTACACACGAACTGGTAGGGGAGGCTGGGGTAATTTGGCCGCTTTTTTAGAAAACGATATAACTTAAAATTGACGACACATTTCTGCATTTTCTCAACGCTAGCAGGTGCCGCATTCAGTTTACTTTACTGGACAGTGAACTTGAAATGATAGAGTAATTACTTATATTGAAATTGTGACGTATTGCAAAGGTCTGCAAGGCGGCCAAATTGCCCCACTAGCAGGGTTATTTGGCCGGGGGTGTGGGGCAATTTGGCCGGTGTTAGTTTGCGGTCGGGATTTTCTGTTATATTGCGAGTCTGCTTCAGATTCAGCAATGACGTGTGTCCTATGACGCATTTACCGCATTTTGGAGGTTGACTCAGGGGTCACAGGGCGAGCGTCATTTCAGCGAACGACATTTGAGCGAAACATTTTCAGCGATTATCAATTTAAGCGATTGACTTTTTCAGCGATTGTCAAGTCGGCGAATTCAATCACAGCGATTATCAACGTAAGCGAGGACCAGAATCAGTGAAACCAGATTGAGCGAATATATGGTGGTCAATGGGAGACCAATTGAGCGAATACAGTTAGAGCGAAACTGAACGCGACGAAAGTCAACCATTTCTTCTTTTGGAAATTCTTGCCCTTTGAATACCCGTTTGGTTTGTGTCATGCTTCAAGCTGCGCGCGACAAAATAAAAAAAATGTTTTAAAGCTTGAAAATCTGTTATCTTGTTCTAGTAATCTTGTTGGAAACCTGAAACCACAAAAATATCAGGCCTCATTTCGCAACGTTTAATCATTGATCTTGCAACGTTTCTTTTTTAAATTTTTGTTTTATATCATACGTCACGATAACACCTAACAGTTTGTAATCCACCAGAGGTAAAGACAAAATTAAATAAAATGGATTGGCTGCCGTTCAGTAGCGGCGGAACACCTTCAATTAACCCGCGCCCCGTAGGGCTACCGGCGGACCCTACCACCCGTAGGGGGGGGGGGGCGTTTCGGCCCCCCCCCCTGAGATCTCGGAAAGTTACCGGCCGATTTTCAAAATTCAAACGGCGTTCGATAGCCCCACCCGGGAACTACCTTGTGACCAAATTTCATTGACCTAGGTCAAACCGATGACGTCACAGGTCAGGTCAAAGGTCAGATTTTCACCGTTCACAGGCATTTCAAGAAATGTGTTGTGAATTCGAGTTAATTGGTAATTTATTGAAAACCATCGATGGTACATTGTTCGTCAAACACATACTTTGCTATCTGAAGTCACTGATACCAGGTCAGGTCACAGCGAGGTCAGGTCACCGGGGTCACAATATGAAAGTGTCGTGTGATACATGTTTTATGGTCCATTTTACATGAATAATGCGATTATGTGGGTTAGGCAGCCTTTGGGGCCAGCCTAGGTCACGTTTTGGTGAAGGTCAGGTCAAGGTCAGGTCAAAAAAGGTCAAATTTCAAAGTTGATATTTTTGCATAAAATGGGTATCTATTCGATGCAGCTCGTCACGGGGAGTCTAATGGTGGTCTTTGTTTTGCTCTACGAGGTCTAGAACTGCCAAAAATTGAGTTTGAAAATTTGACGTCATCAATTTTGAACAGTTTTTTCGCTATAACTTGGCCAAAAAACGAGGTATCGATCTGAAATTCGGTATGTAGATAGAAGACGGTAGGTACTATCACATATATTCCGTTTTTTTGAAACTCAAAAAACTTTTAGGATTTTTTGGCTAATATATCCAAAAAAAAATGTTTTTTTGATTTTTTGGGTTCAAAACTCAAAAAATTTCAAAAATCCGAGATAGCAGTTTTGTAGCCCTGTCAATTCTACACCTTTTATGTCTTGATCATTTTTCTGTATCTTCAAAGCTGTAGGCCTGACAGGTCTTCTCGCGAAGGTCTTTATTCGGTCGAAAATGACAGAACATGACGTCATTCTGACGTCATTTGTGGCCAACCTATCATAGCTTCTGGAAAAAATTTTGGTTACAATGTGTAAAATTGATGCCCGGAGGGGTCTTGAAAGTTTGGTGGCGATATCTGAAGCGGTTTAGGAGATATCGACCGAAAAGGACAGGGGGGGTGTTTCGGCCCCCCCCCCCTACGGGGCGCGGGTTAAGGGGGGCACCGCCGACTTTTGGTCTCATTCTCTCCATGCAACGCCCATAGGGCTAATGTTAAAATGCCAAAATCAAGGGGGGGCACGGTGCCCCGGTACCCCCTTCGTTCCGCCGCCTATGAGTAGGTACCGTCTGGACATAACTTAATATAACTATTCTATTTGTTAAATTATATAAAGAGCAGGGGGTGAAATTGAACCGTTGGAATTGTTTAGAAATGTAGCATTACATTTGGAGCTCAATGTCTGAGGTCTTTGGACGTGACATTCGCCATCCAGTTCCGGATAACCATGAGAAATTCCGGAAACATTCGCGCGTATACGCTCGCAAAAAAAAAAGAACGTTACAGGACGATGAAGTGTTTCGCTGAAGTGGCAGTCGCTCAAATTGTAGTCGACGAAATAGATGTCGCTGAAACATAGCTTTCGCTAAAATTGATAATCGCTATATTTGATAATCGCTGAAATTGATAATCGCTGAATTGCCATTCGCTGAAAATGGTTCGCTCAAATGACGTTCGCTCAAATGACACTCGCTAAAGTCGCTCGCACCGGGTCAAAATAGCCAAATTAGCGGCTCTAGATGCGAAGACAGTTTTTTTTTTACGAATAACTTTTGAAGTAATCAAGCTAGGCCAAAACTTCGAGTACCATCGTAATTCTCTCGTCAGTCCGCATCGAAAGATATATGACATGTGTTGACCTTGAGAAGTCAAGGTCAAAGGTTGACCTCAGGTCACGTTACATCAGGTCGCTTGACCTCAAGGTCACGTGATTTCAAGGTCATCATGCATATCATTCGATGCGCCTTGGCGAGCTGAACAGAATGAGACCATTTGTGCGGCTGTACCATTTTTTATGCAAGGATTTATTAGCAAAAAACGTTTGGTAACCTTTGATGACGTCACATGCTCTTACAGTTGACCAATCGGAAGTAAGGCATCAAAGTAGTCAAAGTTGGTCATGAAGCATGTCATTTATGGTACAATTGACCATGAAAACTCGGCCGTCCCAGCATAGTGACCGTGAGCGCACCGGCCAAGTTGCCCCGCTAGTCCCGGCCAAATTACCCCATATTGCCATTCTGAAAATTTTTGTCTATAAAGTCATTACGGCTATACGGAATTAGATAAAATTGCTCTTGGATCCGCTGAACACCCCCAAGAATGGCGCTATAATGTCTGAATTCATTTTTAGCCCAAATACTACACGTTATACAACTTTGTAAACAGAAGTAAAAGTTACCGTTTTCTAATGAAAATTACGTTTTATTAATTTTGAATAAAACTACGAGGGGCAAAGTTTTGACATTTGTCCTCCAGTTATTTCTACCCATGACAAATGAATAGAGACTAGAATAATTATTTCACTCACTTTTATTAGACATCGTACAGGTGGGGGTGGCCAATTTACACCACCGGCCAAATAACCCCACTCTCCCCTACGCTTTGTCCCGCTGTAACTGCCATTCCTTGTCAAAATGAGCGATCACTTCTTCACTGACTGGTGTTGCTTTATTCCAGCGGCCACCTGCCACGCCCTGGAAAAGGCCAACCTGCGCGGCTTTAAGCTGCGGGTCTCTGCCCTGCGCCGGCTGGCGCGTGCCAACGCCTCCAGTCTTCATGAGCTGACGCTGCCGGCCGGCATCAACGACTGGCAGCTGGAGGCGCTGCTGGAGCCGATGAAGGCTCTGGAGCGGCTCGATGTGAGCCCACCTGTGGACAGCTCCGGCAAGTGGCTTCGGCTGCTGCCCAAGTCGCTGAAGAGACTGGACATTACTGGTGAGAAGGGTTGTGGGATATGCGCGTAGCCTAAAAGGGAAAACAATCAATTCTCCTGTAATTGTTACATGTTTTGTGTGTGAGAGGCAGAACATTGTGAAGAAGGGAAAGTCAAATTTGTTAGGTTATACTTCTTCTTTTTTTTGTAAGCTTATAAACAGGTTGGGTACGGTATGTATAGTCTCTCTTGAAAGTATTGCGTCTCGAAAGTATCTCTACTGCTCCATGGTTTGAGATCGCTCCCTGGTTTGCAAACCCTTGGCTTTTTAGGGTTGGCCGCCTCGACGACCCATGACACCGTGAAAACGGTACGGTACGGCCAGGCAGCCGACCCTAAAAAGCCAGGGCTCTCAAACTAGGGAGCGATAGCGATACTTTCGAGACGCGATACTTTCAAGAGGGACTATGCATACCTAATAAAGCCTGAGCCCTGATGTTGCCAATCAATAATGCAATGCGAGTTACACTTACCTTTACAAACTAACCGTGAAGTGTACAGTCACAGTGTTGATAGGTGATTATGTCCCTCTCCACAGGGTCGGGGATGACTGAGGCACCGCTGACTTTCAATAGACGCCCGTCGGAGGGAGTGCTGGTCGGTGTACAGCTGGCAACGGACATACTCCTGGACCCGCTGGCTGCTCTGGCGGCCCACACAGTCACCAAGCTGTTCATTCGTGGTGAGCAACACCAACACGAGTAGAGCATCGGTGCCAAGACATCGTGACCACTGACCAATGGCCATGACAAATGTAGGGAACACGTGGCTCTTATATTCCGCTTACTACTGCTCTTTATCAAGTTGACAAAACGTAGCGCTTATCGTCAAACACATATCGTACCGATCATGCCAATGAGTATAGTATATGCATTTGGCTATTATGTATGGGTACAGTATATGCTTATGCATCTTATTCTCAATAACGAGGGGCACACGAGGCTGCTACGTTATTATGGACTGGTTGGAAGGATGGCCCATATAAAGCAGTTGGATCTTACTACTGCGCTTTTCCACTATTCCTTTATGTATTGCACTCGCTTGTCCGTTTCCCAAAAAGGCGTCCTACCGGTTGGTAATAGGCATATATTGCTGATAATATGTATTATTCAATATATTCATCTTCAGTTCCAGCCATTCCAGTCGGTATGTAGGGTAAGGGCGGGTAAGAGGACGCAGGCGACAAGAGTACGCAGCAGCTGTTTCGGTTGCTTAGCAACGCCTCATCAGCGTCATCTCGAGTCCTAAGAAGCTGTCTCTCACGCGGCTTCGATGGTGGAAGGTGGGCGCGCTACGGGTTCACTTGTCTTTTTTAGAGGCTTAGGCGTGTTTTTCACATCGCTTTTAGACTTTTTAGGGTGCAGGAAAAGGTGTGACCTTCCTCAGGGAGCGGCAATAGAATTTTCATTTTTTCCTATCAAGATACCACGGGGAATCTGGTGTGTGTGTCAAGTCCCAATTGTTCAAGCGACGACTGTGGCGCCAGCTCTCAGTCCGCTTTGTGTCTACCGTATGTGTCGGCCATGAGTACGCATTGCCGTGGCGGACAAGAGTACGCAGTTTTTCGAGTGCGTGGTTGTGTTGCATTAATCAACTTAGTGCATCAGGCGAGAAACCCCTCAGCAGATTCACGGGATTGGCCAACAAGGTGGATGACACTCGGGGGGACGCCGAGCAGTTGGGGAAACCACGAAGAGCATCACTGTTTCTGGTAGACCAGGGGGCATTTGCACGACCACAGCGGGGCGCCTCGACTCTGTTAACCCTCGCCCGTATAGGGGGGGGGGTCGAACGGACCCCCCCCATGGTTTTTCGCGAATAACTCGCGTAAAAAGCGGCCGATCGCGACGAAACTTTCAGTACCCTCGCGTTTATCAATTTTACACCTACCCTGAAAATTTCATGACCCTGACCCCAATGACCTTTGACCTGTGACCTACTTTTCGAGACCATGTTTGGCCGGAATCGCGATTCGGCGTATGTCGGCTCGCATTAGCCGCGCGTTTGCAGTCTTTTCGTGGTTTCAAGCGTTCAAACATGTGATATGATGTTGCCCCCATGCATTAGGGTGGGTGTCAAGGTCACCTGAAGGTCAGGTCAGGTCATTGACCTTTGGTGACCTCGGTTCACTTTTTCGAGTTTTACATGTTTCTAGGCCAGTTTTTGGAGCTGAATTCGAATTTAGCAACCATATAAACATTTACGAAGTAGTTTTGGTGCCTTCGTAACATGTTACGAAGCTGTCAGAGGCGGTTGACACCTACTAGGAATACCCGGGAGGACCCCTACTGGTTGACCTGACCTGACCTGACCCGACCTGGACTAAATGCATAAAGACATCATCTGTGATCAAAACTAACATGATATTCGTGATCAGCGCCCCGAAAAACCTCATAGCAGCCACACTTTACGACGTTCTAACAGGTTCCGATTTTCCCGACTTTTGGGTCATTGACCTGACCTGCAAGGTCAACCAATGACCTAGGACCTTAAAATTAGGTATCATCGGCTTCCTCTCGTCACGGGCAACACGCTCGTTTTTTCCGCGAAGCTCTAGCTCGATCAGGGGCGAAACGGCAAGGGGGGGGGGTCCAACGGACCCCCCCCCCCCTTATACGTTCGCGTCTGGAAAAACACCAATACGGGCGAGGGTTAACCCTATTAGTGGCAGGGGAGGGGGTTGTTTTTATCCACCCCTCAGGTTTTTCGGGAATATCTCCGAAACCGCTGAAGCTACGATGCTGAAATTTTCTGACTTTTCCTAAAACTAAATTGGGCACATTCCCTGAAAGTTTCAAGTTCATAACTTTACCAGGGGCGGCTCCAGAGCACTGGGAATTGGGGGGTCCTATTCGTGAAGCGAGTCATACTATCAAACGCGGCGAAGATCACGATGCTGCACCAGTTTTACGAACAGTGAATGAAAGGTATCATGTGATAACATATACAAAGTTATTGTGCATCCTCTTTTGACACGTTTTTGCTATAATAGGCGGATCCAGGCGTCCAAAAAGGGGGGTTATTTTTTACCTCCCAACGTAGGTGCCCTGACACCGCCTATGCATGACCAATACAATTTTAGTCGTTCTCTCATAAGAAAATTGTAACATAACAAGACCATTGCCACCCTTTTTAGAAACAGTACCAACAAAAACCTTATTTAGTATACTTTTTGTGTACCCCCAATCTCAATGATCTGTATCCGCGTATGATTTTTGAAAATGCATATTTTTAGGATCCATGTGAATTCCTGGTTCATTCTCTATCGATCGGCAAAAGTTGCGTTAAGATTGGTTCAGAAACCTGGCCGTGATAAACAGTCTAAAATGTATCTGCAATTTGCCCGTTTTTACCCCCTCTACCCCCCTATTGACATTTTTATTTTTTTTATTTAGAAATGTAGATCTCGTTTAGCGAAATCGAATGCCGTTTGAATTTTGAAAATCGGCCCGTTAGATCTCGAGATATCAAGGGGGGTCGTAAACAGCCCCCCCCCCCTGCCACTAATAGGGGTAGCCAGGAGCCTGCCACTAATAGGGTTAAGAGTGACCGTTTTGGTGGCTGCGGCAATAAAGATAACAATAGTTTAATTACTTGCATGAATGCATTGATTCCAGCGAGTAGGAATGCATACACGTAGTGCGTACTCCACCCGCACGAAGTGCGTACTCTTGTACTGCCTATCGGGCAAGAGTACGCAAATGCAGGGTGTTAGAAAATTGCTTACGGTCACGCTTTAAATTGGACGTAGGCCTCTGTGGTCATGACAGTTTGTGGACAAATGATCAGGCTTTATCGGAATGTACTGATCGTAGCCGTAAACCAAAACCGAACGGCGTGAGACGACAAAATGCATTAGGTGCGTACTCTTGTACGGTCCTCACCTATGTCTGTATTTGTTTTACAGAGTCACCGTCCGTGACACCGGAGACGACGGGACGCCTCCTGACTGCCCTCACCAGCTTGAAGGACGTCGGTGTTGTCGGATCCGGCGTCATTTCCGAAACTGTGCTGTCCGCCCTCCACGGCTGTCCCCAGCTGGATACAGTGCAGCTTAATGACACCCGGCGCCTCACGGACATCCCTGCCCTGACCCAGTCAGAGGTGGCAGCGGTCAGCAGGTCAGTCGGCCGGACGGCGCCGGTGGATATTATGTGTAACTGGATAGACCGCAATAAGCCCGGAGATAACGCATCCGGTGGAGGTATACATAGGAGTACGGGCACATGGACGTTGAAAATGAAAACGATCACGTCACAGAAGAATATGCATCCACTGACAGATAATATGCTGGAGATTAACCCGCGCCCTGCTGGGGGGGGGTGTGTTTGAACACCCCCCCTTGTGGTTTTTCGCGAATTTCTCAAAAACGGCGGCGCGGAGCGCCGCCGTTTTTTGGTCACCTTATCATACATCAATTCTACACATGTTGTGAAAATTTCTGACCAAGGTCATTCAAGGTCAGGTCACCAGGTCACTTGAAGTGACCTCACCTCATAACAAGTTTCAATGTCTGTCCTAGCTACACCGAGTGACCGATTGCTTTGAAACTTTCAGCGATTGCTAAGAGCAATAGCATGTACAAAATGTATATCTCAGAATTTTGATATCGATGACCTAAGGTCAGGTCAATTTTGTGACCTCCCCATTATAAGTCAATGGGAGAAAATTGAAATGCGCCTCTTTTGGACGAAAGACATTATAAACACTCTCAAACACTGAATTACAAGTGGTTTAGACACACTGAACATGAAAATGGTGTCCGTGACCCCTGTTTATGCCCTGAGGTCATCTTAGGTCACGAATGGTATCTAACAGTTTTTCGCAAATAACTTTTGATAGAGGCATGCTAGAGCAATGAAAACGCCTTAGATGTGTTCAGCTCGACGATACGGATCGACTGGTATGCAACATGACCCTTTCTGGTCAGGTCATGACCTTGACCTGAGGTCAAATTTTCAAGTTGACCTTTCAAGGTCAAGTTATAGTTCATTCGATGCGTCTTGACGAGAGGAACACGATGCCGGTAAAAGTAAGCTCGTACAAGGCTTGGGTCAAAAGTTATTGCAGAAAAACTGTTTCCAAAAAAATCGGCTATTTTTGCAGTTTTTGCCCCCTGCAGGCAAAACCGTTGACGTTAGGTCAAATCTGAGAGAATTACTCAGAAAGGGCGTTAATAGGGCTATCGAATGCACTTTTTCGCGGCGCTATAGCTCTTTTGGTTCCCGAGTTATGCGTTGGCATCTTGGAAATTGTCGACATTCGACCTGGAAATCGGCGAAATTTTGCCTTCAATGACCTCTGGTGACCTGACCTTTGACCTGAGCAAAAAATTGACCGAAGTGATTTCCTCATTATTTTTTACGCTCTTTCGAACGCCGCCTTCCGCGTATCGCTACGTGGCCCAGGAGCCGAGTTAGAAGGGGGGGTGTTCAAACACCCCCCCCCCAGCAGGGCGTGGAAATCCAGACCCCCAGCCGGGCGCGGGTTAACCCTCGCCCGCACATGCCATTTTCCCATCCTAGAACGCACATGGGGGGGGGTGGTTGCCACCCCCCCCCCCCGCGCCATTTCGTTCCTGTTGGAGATAGAGCTTAGCAGTAAGGACCAAAAAGATTCTTTGGGAAGAGACGAATCCAATGATACCCAGTTTTACCTTCTCAGGTCAGTCATTGACCTTCCAGGTCAGGTCAAACTAAAAAATGTTGCTGTTTTGGGTCACCGTTGGATATCAAGTGTGCTGCTTATCAAATACCGATGACGATGCTGTTTTCTGGTGCCAAGCCAGCTAGAACCTCTTTGTCACACTATCCGACCAGAATTTTGCTGCTGAGGTCATTTCAGGTCAAGTTAGGTCAAGGTCAATTATATGTGTTTGTATGTCTGTGTGTGTCTGTGTGTATATTGATGTGTGCACCGATTGTTTTTGGGTCCATATCACATGAAATCATGATCTGAGAAGCTTTTACCAAAAATGCAGTCAAAAAAAACTTCACAAAAAGTAAATTCAGCTTGCCTAAAACGCAATTATCTTAGATGACCTAGGTTGACCTTGACCCTGACCTTGACCCCTGTACATCGTCGAACAACATGTTCCATGATAGGTGGGAGGTAAGACTGGCAAAAAAGGCCGAAATCAGGGTGTCAAAAGCTCACAAGGCCCATGGCAAACGCAAGATGTTGAGAATTAGCCATTTGGGTCATGACATGACCTGAAAAACAAGGTCATATCTCCGAAACCAAAAATCACAGAAACTTGAAATTTTCAGTGGACATCAAGAAAGGATAGACGAGCAGCTATACGAAAAATCAGCCTTCTAGCTCTAAAAATGTTGAGTGCAGAGCAGAAAGACTGCCTGGGGGGGGGGGGGGTGGCAACCACCCCCCCCCATGTGCGGGCGAGGGTTAATAAATGCATGGATGCAAACAGACGGACGGGCAGATTTGTTAGCTAGACCGCATCGTTCTTCATCCTAATGCTGCGTAATAACAATAGCAATAGGTATCTAAAACAACTTCGATTCCAAGTATGTATTACGTGTCGGGTCGCGGCCGGCCGGCCGCGGACCATTTTCAGAAGTGGCGGGCAGACCGTGCGTCGAGTACTTGCTTTCTCGCGCGGCGGTACTGGGGTTCACTAGCATTGTTTAAAATATTTGCATTTGCCATGAACTTGAAATTATACACTGTAATTAACGATCATTTGTCAATTATTACAAGTTCTTCAAAATTCTTCTTTGAAAGCAAATGATTTCATTTCACTCAAGAATTGTCTTGTCCACCACTACAACCGCCACCCAGCCGCCATCCATTGGAAGAGATAGGCTCTGCGGCACAAAGTGTCGTTTTAAACTGGACTGGGAACCAATGTGTGATGACATTTCGAGCTAAATTTATGCTCATTGTGTACCTAGAAGCATTGGGAACAACGCTCTGACTGTACATTTTTAGATTTTTGCCTCTAAATGAAAATATTTACAATCAAGTACTTTGCGAGCGCAGTTTAGAAGCTCCCGTAATGTTAAAGTCCTATCTCCTACAAGTATGTAAATACTGCTCTAGGGAACCAACAGTTCGCATCGTACTAGCTTTAAATTATATCCATATTGTTCCCAGGACTTTGCTGAACACTGTGGTGAGTGTACATTTTTCGTTTTTTGCTTTACAAGCGTAAAATTCGTCTGGTTTTACACAGGGCCTCCTCTAAGGATTTTTCACTGGGTGGGCAATTTTTCCCCCGCTCCCCTGCCTGAGGGCGGATCCAGCCACTTGTTTTGGGGTTCAACCAATTTCAAAACCTGTGCGGGGGGGGGGTGAGGCGAAATAAGCTGTGCCATTATTGGAAACAAGATGATAGTTTGCAAAGATAACGTTTGTCGTGTGTTTTATTTTATCCCTCGCCGGCACAGGCCATTTTGCGTCCTTCGACGGCGCAAGGGGGGGGGGGGGGGGCGAACCCCTCGTGTTACTGTTAGGTCCCTAATTAACCTGGAGATTCGCGGAAAAAAAAACATCGTGTAAGTCATCACGAGACAAAGCCAACGGTACCCAGTTTTAAGGTCATAGTTCAAATGGTGACCTCTGAGGTGAGGTCAGGTCGTCAATGAACCAAAAGTCGAGAAAATCGGGACCTGTTAGAACGTCGTAGTGTGGCTGCTATGGGTTTTTTCGGGGTGCTGATCACGAATATCATGTTATTTGTGACCACAGATGATATCTTCATGCATTTAGGCCAGGTCAGGTCAGGTCAGTTCAGGTCAACCAGTAGGGGTCCTGCCGGGTATTCGTAGTACGTGTCAAAAGCCTCTGACAGTTTCGTAACATATTACGAAGGCACCAAAACTACTTCGTAAATGTTCAAATGGTTGCCTAATTCGAATTCAGCTCCAAAAACTAGCCTAGAAACATATAAAATTCGAAAAAGTGAACCGAGGTCATCAGGGGTCAATAACCTGACCTGACCTTCAGGTGACCTTGAGGCTTGACATCCAACCTAATGCATGAGACCAACATCATATCACATGTTTGAAAGCCTGAAACCAAGAAAAGACTGCAAACGCGCGGTGATGCGAGCCGACATACGCCGAATCGCGATTCCGGCCAAAAATTGTCTCGAAAAGCAGGTCACAGGTCAAAGGTCATTTGGGTCAGGATCATGAAATTTTAACGGTAGGTGTAAAATTGAATAACTCGAAGGTACTGCAAGTTTCGTCGCGATCGGCCGCTTTTTACGCGATTTATGCGAAAAAAGAAACATAGAGGGTTGCATCACCCCGCCCCCTGTGACGGCTAGGGTTATAGTTAGCGATGCTCGTGACGTCTATTCGTTCCATATTACATGTACATTGTTACGAGCGAGCGAGCGCAGCGAGCGAAGCGAAGTCTTTTCAATATAACGGAAAAATCTCAGTATGAGCGGCCCGGCCCGGCCCGGCCCGGCCCGGCCCGGCCCGGCCTGTAACGCTTTTGAGAGGCTTATATCTCAGCAACCGCTGGACCGATTGGCCTGCGGTCTTTTTTGCTGGGTAGCCCCATCCCTTCTACCCCGTAATTGACTACTTTTGATACATCTCAGTGACCGTCGTGGCACGTGCCACGTGAAAAGTCAAGGGTGTTCAAGCAGTTTTGCAAAAGTAATGATTTTGAGAGGCCCATATCTCAGCAGCGGCTTGAGCGATTGTCTTGCGGTCATTTTTATAGGGTAGCTGCATCCCTTCTACCAAAGGTCGGATACTCTTGATCTATGTGAGTGACCCCCACTGCACGTGCAAAATACAACAATAAGAGGTGCCAAATTTGTTCCCATTTCAGTAACTCGGTAATTACTGGGGCGATTTCGCTGAAACTTGGCATACAGGTAGGCACCCACCAGGCAATGCATTCCCATGTGTTGCGGTTAGGGTGCTACTGCACGTGCGCACGTGCAGGGGGCGTTTCCAGATCTCGAGAACGGCTGGGCCGATTGCGCTCAAATTTGGTACATGGTTGGGGACCGGTTAGTAGGGTTCCGTGCAAAAGTCATTTTGGACCCCGTTTGCACGTGCGCACGTACAGAAGGCCGCTTCCAGATCTCAGGAACGGCTGGGCCGATTGCGTTCAAATTTGGCACACCGCTAGCGAC